CAGGCCCCTGTCCCCCGGCGCCCCGCCGCGGCCGCCCAGCACCGGCAGTGCGGGTAGGTGGTGACGGCTGTGCTGGCAGCTCTTTGTCAAAAAGGGTGAAAAAACAAACCAAACCAAATTGCTACCCTAAGCAGTTCTTCATGCTGCTGCTCTTACCTTTATTGTTTTAATAAAGAATAACTGGCTTTCTTTTAAAGTATTTTTAAAAATATATTGTTATTGACCTCAGAGAGGAAGAGGGAGGGAGGGAGAGAGAGAAACATCAATGATGAGAATCATGGATCGGCTGCCTCCTGTACCACAGGGCCCCCCCCACACACACACACACACACACACTCACACACACTGGGGATCGAGCCAGATATCTGCCCGGACAGGAATCAACCCCCAGCCTCCTGGTTCATAGGTCGATGCTTAACCCCTGAGCCATGCGGGCCGGGCTGAAGTAGTTTTTGACAATCTGCTGTGGCTCTCGCACCGCGTCAGGTCCAGGGGAGCAGTATATACCACCTGTCAGCCCTCCTCATGGGACAGCCATGCTTGGACGGGCAGGACATCGTGAGCAGAGATTTAAAGTTATGTGGGCCGTTCATGTTGAAAATAGCGGAACTGACTTCACTGACTGGAGTTCATGCTTTTGCATTTCTCCCTGCCCGAATGTGTTCGTTACTCAGCGGGATTCGTGGTGCACTGACGGCCGCCCTCAGTGGGATGTGCCTCCCCGTGCCTGGTCGGTAGCGCCCCCTGCGCACTGCTCACCCAGCAGCGAGCACTGTCCGCACTGACACCCGCAAGGCAGGCAACGCAGGGCCCGGCAGCGAGTGTGTGCGGGGCGGGCAGAGCAGGCCGACAGCTGCGAGTGTGCGGCACAGTTCATCCTCCCATTATTACTGATTAATGTATTATTTATATTGTGCTTGTATTATGGTTATTGTTACCTTACTTATGAGTTATCACTTAGGGAGTGATGGCCTGTAACTTAACCTATGTACGTTACCCGCCAATGCCAAGTTCAGACAGGCCGGGTGTTCCTTAGGCGTGGAGCGAGGCCGCCTCCGTGCACGTCCTTCATATGCTGATAAGGAGGCGGGTTCCTATTCACCCCTGTCCTCTCTCCTCCCCCTCCCAGGTGGGATGCTGAGCTCGTCGGACCTCACGGTGCCCAATGGAGCCGGGAGCAGCCCTGTCGGTGAGTGGATCCTAGCTCGCGCTTGTAGGCAACTGCCGGCCATGGAGGAGGGGATGGTCCGCCCCACGGGCCTCTGGCGATGAGGGGAGGGGTGCGGGCATTCCCTGTAGCCTGGTTTCCCCCCGAGGGTACGTCTGCCTCTGCCTCCCGTTTCCTGGTCACTCCCCGCTTTATTCCTCACACAGTTCTCAGGCACCTGTGGGGAGCCTCCTCCCAGCAAGGAATTATTCTTTTCTAAAGTCCACATCGCCACCGCACAACTTCTACATCAACACCGTCAAGGAGACGCTTTCTGTAGCATCTCTTCTCCCAAAATTACACTAACAGGCCACCGACCACCTGACGGCGGGAGAGGTGGGCCGGGGGCTGCCGGGAGGCACTGGCGGCTGCTTCAGGCACAGAGAAGCGAGCAGCGGGCCCGCGGGCGCTGGTGGTCACGGCAGGACACGCACATGGGGGCGTGGTCACAGCCCGCTGGTCTCTCACTTGGGATCCTCCCGAGAGGCCTTAAACCCTTAAACCCTTGTCACAGTGTGTCCGCCCGCCCAGGAGGCTGGAGAGAGACTGTGCTCTTACCGTGACAGTACGGCACGCGTGCCCGAGGTCCAGGGACAGCTGTGTGCCTCTGGGTTGCCGTCCTACTAACGCAGTGGTTCTCAACCTTCTTGCCCTTTAAATACAGATCCTCATGTTGTGACCCAACCATAAAATAATTTTCGTTGCTACTTCATCACTGTCGTGTTGCTACTGTGATGAATCGTCATGTAAATATCTGATCTGCAGGATGGGCTTAGGCGACCCCTGTGAAAGGGTCATTCGACCGCCAAAGGGGTCGCGACCCACAGGTTGAGAACCGCTGTATAAGGCCTCCTGGTCTCCGATCTGTGGTTACCGACCGTCCTGGTGACTGAGAGGAAACGCAGGCGCTCCTCTCTGCCCCAGTGCTGCTGTGGGCCCGGGGGACTTCTAGGGACAGTTCCCAGGCCTCCCACTCATTCACACAAACGGAACCAGCTTCTCCTCAAGTAAACGAGGAGATGCGGAATAACTTGATTTACATTGAAGAGAAATAAACAGGCTCATTAGTAAGACAAGCTACAAACATAGCGACCTGACGTCGGAATAAATGCCCAATTACATCTGCCACCGTGTTAAGTGCCATTTAACTGGAATTAAACAGGTAAGACCGGTTGTAGGATCTGTTTAAATAGATAATTAATGTGCAAAAATTCATAAAGGCCTCACCAATTATCCGTCAGGGCTCTCACACTTGGATGTGTCTTTCCAAATATTTACAGCCTTTTCATCTGTGTAGCTG